AAATAAGTTAATCAGTCTATTAATAGGATTAAGAGATTTCTGGAATTAGGTAAAGATCTTGGAAATCAATTAAAGAAGTGGTTGGTCCTGTAGAAGGATAAGAAGACCAAATCTGACTCTAGCAGAAGGAGGATAGGTATGTGGATTTCTTAAAAACTGGTCAAAGTCTCTTTGAGCAATATGGCCCTCATCTTCATTCCACCTTGACCTCTCATCACTGGGGAGATGATGAGCACCTGGGGCTCTAACCAAACTGTCGCCATGCAGGGCCCTCACTCACCTGCTTCACCAGGCCTCAGCTGTGCTCATCTTCTCCAGTCCACCCCCCCACACACACACTCATGTGTCTTCCAGGGATGCAGTTACCCATCCTCTGATACTCCCATGTGAAGTCACCTCCACTGAAGCCTTTTCTGCCTCCACTGGCCTGGCACAGTCTGCCCCACCTGGCTTTTTATTGTACCTGCCACTAGATTCTATCTTGTCTGAGTTATTTCTCCTCTGAGTGAAATGTAAGCTTCCTTATTGTCAAAGACCTCTTGCCCATTTTAGTTTTCCCTCCTTTACCCACAGTGGTGATGGTGTTATACTGAGATCAAGTCCCATGTTAATCTGATCTGAAGTTGCCCATGCATGACTCTTATTGCTGCCATCCATTCATCAGTAATGTTTCACACATTGGCTACCCAGCTACTGGTGAGACAATCGTGCTGCTTTGCTGAAGGGAAACAAACCCTCCAAGCACAGTTTTTGCATTCAGTGGTAATGCTTATCTCCATTATCAGGCTCAGCCAGGTCCTTACTGTTGCTTCTGGTGTGTTGAGTGCCATTTGCATGTGCCTGTTGAGAAGCTTTATTCCCAGTTGTGCAGGGGAACTGAATCTTCTCCTGTACTGAATGCTGTCTCCTCAAAGAAGTCCATCTTGCATACCTCAAAGCGCTGCTACCTCTACCTTGCTTTCGAGTTTAGAGAATGAAATTTCTGGTAGTGCTTTTTTGCCATGAAATTGTGGAAGGTTCCAGTTACTGGAAAGTGTGTTTCATGATGAGTAATGTTAAAAACCTAAGTGCACAAAGAAACACTAAAAATGAGTATAACAGTAGTATATTTATTGTGAGTAGATAACAATTCGAATCAGTCATTGAAGTATTGGACAGGTGCTTCAGAGGGGATAGTAAAAACAGGTTATGTAGGTGGGTCAGAGCAGGGTAGTATCTGGGCCAGCATTATAAATTTCTTGTGTGTTGTTTTCTTAGAGCAGGACTTCTGGTCAGTCAGTTGTAAAAACCAAAGCTTGGAGCAAGTTCATTCTGGTTCGACCCCCCGCTGAAAATTTTCATTTCCACCCCAAATAGACTGAATCAGAATCTACATGTTATCAAGATCCCTGAGTGATTCTCCTAGATCCCGAGATAATTCTTACATATAATAAAAAATGTATATAAATCTAGTTAACATGTAGATTCTGATTTAGTCTATCTGGGGTGGAAATGGGAGCTCTGGTAGCGTAGTGCCTAAGACATTAGACTGCTAACCAGAAGGCTGGTTCAAACCTGAAGATGACCTGAAGATGACCTCAGAAACCAGTTCTTAAAAGGCTCAAGGTTCAAAAGGACATCTAAAGGTGAATGGCCTGGATAAGACATCCCAACTCCACGGACCCAGACCTCTGGATTCCAGAATTAAAATGGCTTCTCAGTAACAACTGTGCTGGCGGAAAAAAAAACCCTCCAGATTCAAATATGTTCTATAGAGACCTTTTTCCTAAGCTTTAAACAGGACATTGTTGTTGTTGTTAAGTGCCATTGAGTAATCTCCGACTCATAATGACCCTATGCACAGCAAAATGAAACACTGTCCAGTCCCATGACAGCCTCGTGATCCTTTGCTATACCTGAGCCCATTGTTGCAGCCACTGTGCCTATCTCATTGAGAGCCTTCCCCTTCTTCATTGACCCTCCACTTTACCAAGCATGATATCTTTCTCCAGGGAATGGTTCCTTCTGACAACATGAACAAAGTAGGTGAGACGAAATCTGGCCATTCTCACTTCCAGGGAGCACTCTAGCGGCACTTTTTCCAGGGCAGATTTGTTAGTCCTTTTAGTAGTCCGTGGTACTCTTAACATTCTTCTGCAACACCACATCTCAAAAGCATCAATTCTTCTACTGTCTTCCTTATTCATTGTCCAGCTCTCACATGCATAAGAGGCAATTGAAAATACCATGGCTTGGGTTAGGTATACTTTATAGTCTTCAAAGAGACATCTTTGCTCTTAATCACTTTAAAGAGGTCTTTTGCAGCAGATTTGCCCAATGCAATACGTCATCTTATGCCTTGACTGCTGATTACAGTGGTGTTGATTGTAGAACCAAGTAATATGAAATCCTTAACAACTTCAATCTTTTCTCCATCTACTGTGAAGCTGTTTATTGGACCAGTTGTGAGGATTGTTGTTTTCTTTTTATTGAGGTTGGAGCTCTGGTAGCGTAGTGCCTAAGGCACTTGACTGCTAACCAGAAGGCTGGCGGTTCAAACCCACCAGCCACTCTTTGGAAGGAAGATGGGGCAATCTACTTCTGTAGTGATGCTGTGCTGTTGTTGTTATGTGCCATCGAGTCGGGCCCGACTCATAGCAACCCCTCCTTGGGTTGCCGAGGCAGTATTACTACTGTAGTAATGTACTGTAGTGATACTGCCTTGAAAACCCAAGGAGGGGTCACTATGAGTCAGGTCCAACTCGACAGCACATAACAACACAACAACCCATACTGTAGACTGTAGTCTTTAATCTTCATCACTAAGTGCTTCAAGTCATCATCACATTCAGCAAGTAAAGTTGTGTCATCTGCATGTCTCAGGTTGTTAATGAGTCTTCCTCTAATCCTGATGCCATGTTCTTCTTCATGTAATCCAGCTTCTCAGAGTATTTGTTCAGCATACAAGTTGAATATGTATGGTGAAAAGATAACAACCTTGATATACTTCCTTCTTGAATTTGAACTATGCAGTATCCCCTTGTTCTGTTCAAATGACAGCCTCCTGATCTATGTACAGGTTCCTCATGAGTACAATCAAGTGTTCTGGGATTCCCATTCTTCTCAATGTTATCCACAGTTTGTTATGATCCACACAATTGAATGTGACATGAATAAACATCTTTCTGGTATTCTTTGCTTTTAGCTAAAATACGTCTGATATCAGCAGTAATATTCCTTGTTCCATGTCCTCTTCTGAATCCAGCTTGCATTTCTGGAAGTTCTCTGTCAATATACTGCTGCAACCATTTTTAAATTATCTTCAGTAAGATTTTACTTGAATGTGGTATCAATGATATTGTTCGATAATTTCCATCTTTCTTTGGAATGAGTACAAATATGGATCTCTTCCAGTCAGTTGGCCAGGTAGCTGTCTTCCAAATCTCTTAGTATAGCCAAGTGAGTGCCTCCAGTGGGGTATCTATTTGTTGAAACATCTCAATGGGTATTCTGTCAATTCCTGAAGCCTTGTTTTTCTCTACTTCCTTCAGTGCAGCTTCAACTCCTTCCTTCAATACCATTGGTTCTTGATCATATGCCACCTCTTGAAATGGATAAACATCAACCAGTTCTTTTTGGTACAGTGACTCTGTGTATTCCTGCCATCTTCTTTTGATGCTTCCTGCATCATTCAATATTTTGCCCATAGAATCTTTCAATATTGCAACTCAAGGCTTAAATATTTTCCTCAGTTCTTTCAGCTTGAGAAATGCAGAGCGTGTTCTTCCCTTTTGGTTTTCTAACCCCAGGTCTTTGCACATTTCATTATGGTAATTGGCTTTGTCTGCACAAGCTGCTCTTTGAAATCTGCTGTTCACCTCTTTTATCTTGTCATTTCTTCCATTTGCTTTAGCTACTGTCTGCTCAAGGGCAAGTTCCAGAGTCTCTCTGACATCCATTTCAGTCTTTTCTTCCTTTCTACTTTCTTCCTTGTGCTTTTAACAGGACAAGAACAATGAAATTACATATAACTTATTTCTACTTTTGAAAGTGGACAAGTTGTTTTTCTTGATACATTGTTCCCCAAAACAAAATTGTATCCTTTGGGAAGATCTACTTGATTTTTTGTTGGAATTTTGATAAAGGGAAAAAAAAAGTTTTAAAAAAAGAAACAGAACAAGGACAAAACAAAGACAGTCATCCAGGTTGAGAGCATGTACACATCAGCATGTATACAGTATAGAGGCTGAATGAAGTCCACTGAGTCACAGTCATGGTGCTCCTTATAAATGATAAAGAACAAAGGAAATCATCACAGATGATGATTAGTGGCAGGTCAATTCATCACAGATAGGACTACAGAAACGAAGAGGGTGGAAGAACCTTAATTGGGATACATACACAATTGCAGATTAAAAAGGATTACCAGATTAGTTCTGGGGTTTGACCATGTAGCTACAGGGTGATCATGGTATGACTCATGACCAGGCAGCCATATCAAGACCCCAAACTTTAACTAAATTAGATAAAATGCAGCTGTTTTCGGGGAATCATTAAGGACACACCCAGGCAAGTTCCCTAGTTCTCTGTGTGAGCATAATCTACTTTCACCACACTCTTCCTCAGGGCAAACTGTCTCCCTCCCTAGGTTTGTCCAGACTTATCAAGTCAGATCCAACTAAGTTGGATCCAACTCATATCGACCCCTCCTTGGGTTTCCGAGGCAGTATCACTACGGAAGTAGATTACCCAACCTTCCTTCTGAGGAGTGACTGATGGTTTGAACCTCCAGCCTTCTGGTTAGCAGTCACATGCCTTAGACACTACGCCACTAGAGCTCTGTCTATGCATAGCCACATTGCTGGTTTAGTTGTCAGAAAGAACTCAGTGGGGTCTGAACTTATGTCAAGACTCAAAATGGAATTAGGGCTTCTGTTATACACTGCAACCTTCCATAATCCTATCACCAGGTGACCCCCCCAAGTTGTACACTAATGTGATATGCCCTCTTTCCCCAACAGGCACAAAAGGTGTACAAGAAGTTTTCGAAGCCCAGCAGAGCTCACCACTCCTCAGAGAAAAGAGCTCCTTCCATTCCCTCTCCAAGCGGCACTGCACAAGGTCGCACCCTGGGCCACAGCCAGCAGCCCCTGCTGGACAGTCCATACCCGGTGCTCAGTCAGACAGGCCTGTCTAACGGGGATCAGCCAGAATTTGCCAGACGAGCCAGCAGCCCTCCCAGCCATCCTTGGTCTTTCCAGAGAAGCAAGTCCTTGTTTTGTTTGCCCACAGAAGGTCCCTTTCCAACCTCCTTGGCAGAACCACAGTGGCTATCAAACAAAGGTCCCCCACGGCATAGGGCGGCAGAGTGGAGACATGGCCAGCTTCTCTCCATTGACGACTTAGCGGGGGCCCAGGAGACTGATGTGGACACGGGCCTGAGGCTGTCCTCCTCAGACCTCTCCGTGGTTTCTGCGTACTCTGCACCTAGTAGGTTTTGCAGCGCTGTGGAGACATGCCTCCCATCTGAAACATGCAGCAGCCGCTGGCCCAAGCACAAGGATTCCAGAGAAGGACCGCTGCCTGCTGTGAGCACGGAGGCCCCCGAGGCCTCTGAACCTTCCCTTTCTTTCTTCACCAAAGGGTCTTCTAGCTCCTTAGTGACATCTGTTGCTGCTTCCTCGGCTTCTGGCGCCTCTTCACTCACAGAATCATGCCAGGAGCCCCCTTGTGACATTTCCATAGTCAAGCCAACTGACAGAGACATCCCACCACCACCAGCATTGGCTGGCCCCAGGGATGGTGAAATGGAGGAATTCTACATCTGAACGGCCAGTACTTGCACTCAAACTGACACACAGTTGGCTTGACCCGAGGTCCTCTGCCCCTTGGGTCTCTGAGCCCTGCCACTTTTCTTGGCCCTACTTCCACACATCTGTTTAGAATTTAATTATCTGTTTCTTAAGGATCAGTAGCACATTTCCCATGCCCCCTATTTTTGGGTGAGTGGTGGTATATTTCTAGGAACTTGGTGGGAAAATAGTGGCATTTTTATGCAAATAAATCTCAACAACCTTGAGTCGTAAAACATTTTTTAAATACTCAACTCCATCTGAGGTATAGTTTAGTGCATTTATAAAATTTAAATGCATCGTATAATTATTTGAAGTGAAAGTCTAGTCAGCTGGAGCTGATTTAGCAATTTTTCATGCTGTGAAGGTAAAACAGTTAAGTCAAAAGGGAAAGATACTGAGTTACTTGTCTGAAAGATGAGTGTCCATAATGTCCATCTTACTGGGCTATCCATGTATATTGACATTGTCAGAGAACAGTGGCTCTAAGACTATTTCAGTACTGCTATAGTGGGGGAAAAAAAAAAAAGGGAGCTCTGGTAGCATAGTGCTTAAGGCACTTGACTGCTAACCAGAAGGCTGGCGGTTCAAACCCACCAGCCACTCCATGGAAGGAAGGTTGGACAATCTGCTTCCATAGTGATACCTCCTCGGAAACCCAAGGAGGGGTCACTGTGAGTTGGAAATGACTTGATGCTCGTGAGTTTTATGGTGAAAAAAAATCAGCTTGGTGAGACAGCAGTAAACCTATACTACTAACCAGTTACTGTGGAGTCAATCCCAACTCGTGGTGACCCGTGTGTCAGAGTAGAACTGTGCTCCATAGGGTTTCCAGTAGCTGATTTCTTCAGAAGTAGATTGCCAGGCCTTTCTTCTGAGGTGCCTCTGGGTGGACTAGAACCTTCAACCTTTCATTTAGCAGCTGAGCACATTAACTCTTAAAGCTGAGCACAGGAACTCTTAAAGATAACAGACTACAATTAATATCTCATTTTTATAATATCTGAAAATATAGATTTACAAAACATTTAAGCTGCTGTTGTTGCTGTTGTTGTATGTGCCGTTGAGTCACACCCAACTCATAGCAACCCTTCTTTGGGTTTCCGAGGTGGTATCACTATGGAAGTAGATTGCCCAACCTTCCTTCCAAGGAGTGGCTGGTGGCTTTGAACTGCCAGCCTTCTCGTTAGCAGTCAAATGCCTTAGGCACTATGCCACAGAGCTCCCTTTTTTTCCACCATAGCAGTACTGAAATGCCTTAGAAGGAATTAGCATAAGTAACAAACTTTTGCTGCATTGAAAATGTGATTTGATGTCCAAAAACTAGATTTGCATAATGATGAGGGTCTACACAAGACCATTCATCTACCTGAGCTTATTTGCATCACTGGGGAAAAATTGATCATTGGGGTTGCAGAATGATAGGATATTGGACATAATGCATAGAGAGTCATAAAAGTCTTCATTTTTAATACTCAGAATCTGAGAGTTGTATATACTCACTGCCATAGAGTCAATAACACTTCATAGCAACCCCATTGGGTTTCCAAGGCTGTAAATCTTTATGGAAGCAGATAACCTCATCTTTCTTTTGCGGAGTGGCTAGTAGGTTCAAACGGCCAATCTTCTGGTTAGCAGTGGATACCTTAACCCACTACACCACCAGAGCTCCTTATAAGGGCTGTATATATCTATATGTAAGCCACATTTTATACTGCTCTTTCTGATAAACATGCATTGTCACCTTAGTTTTTATTATTATTTAAGTAATACATAACATTTTGATTGGCATTTTGATTGCATAGAGAAATAAATGCCCCCTCTCTCAAAAAATGAGAGTTTTACACAAAGGTCTTGCTCTCTTGAGCAAACCCTTGTGAGTACTGCTAACCCTCCATGAGTACAGGAGCCTTAAAGCCACAGCATCAGCCTAAACTTGGCTTTTCTGCCTGTCATCTGCTTCTGTCATAACATGAATGGTATTAAATTTCACCTCCCTCCCAGGGAGGAGCTCTGGTGGCCTAGTGCCTAAGGCATTTGACTGCTAACCAGAAGACTGGCGGTTCAAACCTAGCAGCTACTCCTCAGAAGTAGGAGTAGCTGCTACTCCTCAGAAGTAGGAGTAGCCACTACTCCTCGGCAATCTGCTTCCATAGAGATCCTTCCCGGTGAGGGTTATGTTTACAGTTCCAACCTGGGCAATACCAAATGCTGCCACCAGGAGCATTGCTGAGCTTTCCCTGGATGCTATTGCTTCTTTCCAGTCTGGTGCTTCTTACCTAAATGAAGTGTGGCCAAGTTTTCACCTTTCTGGAAGTACCCACCCCAGCCCAAGCACAGCCTCACGGTCTTTCCCACATGGCTCTCCAGGCAGCTGTTACTTCACCAGACTTGAGCTGAAGCCCCCATACATCCTAAATTCTCTTGGACTCCTAATTTTAGTATTCTGCTTCAGTTTAAGTAAATAAAAATAAGGTCTCACAGCTCTAGACCAAGAGGTTTTGTTTTGTGTGTGTGTGTGTGTGTGTGTGTGTTTTGTTTTTTCTGAAAAGGGCTAAATAGTAAATATTTTATATTTCATCAGCCATAGGTTCTGTTGCAAGTACCCCACTCTGCCATTGTAACATGAAAACAGCTCTGAACAATATAAAAATGAATGGGCATGGCTCTGTTCCAATAAAACTTTATTTACATAAGCAGGTGGTAGGCCAGATTTGGCCAAAGGTCCTAGCTTGCCAACCCCTGCTCTAGACTGCTAAAAAAGCAAAACCAGTTGCCATCAGGTGTGTTTTGACTCCAGGTGGCCCCATCTGTGTCAGAGTAGAACTGTCCTTCATAGGGTTTTCAAATGGCTGATTTTTTGGAAGGAGATTTTCAGGCCTTTCTTCCAAGTCATCTCAAAATGGATTCGAACCTCCAACCTTTTTCACTTAGTAGCCAACAGCCTAATCATTTGCACCACCCAGGGATGCCTCTAGACAGCTGCCTGAGGTTTATTCAAGATCAACAACAAAGAATCCAAGTGTACATCCTGCTGTTTCTGAGAAACATAATGCCAAGAAAATGGGCTACTCAGGTCAGGACAATGACTGCAGAACCACAGGGCACAGAGCAGTAAAGGGCTTCTATCTGCGAAGCTGATGCCTAGAAAGTCACTAGCAGTTCACCTCCTGCCTAGAAATGTAACTCAATCAATAGTTAATGATGAAAAGCAACACGTTACCGTTAGAGAAAAGAAAAATAATTCAGAGGCAATTCCACAGCCCCCCATGAACGGCAGTAAGCTCATCAGTAGCACAAGTCAGAGAAGCAAAAATGAGTGGACTAACTGCTGAGTGATGGCTCTGCGTGTGTTCATCCTTCATCGGCACCCTTTTCTAGTGTACTCGCATGCACCCCTAGGATGACTTAGATGCTTGCAAGCAACCATGATGGATGTTCCCAGATCCCACCCTTTCTCAGTGACCTACCCCCTCACATTCCAGTCTACCAAACTGGAGTTACCCCAAAGAATGTGCAAAGACACCATTTAAAAGCAAACTAAAAAAGCAAACTCACTGCCATCAAGTCGACTCCAACTCATAGTGACCCCCATTGGGTTTCCAAGGTGGTAAATCTTCACAGAAATAGATTGTCCCATCTTCCTACCATGGAGCAGCTGGTAGGTTCAAACTGCCAGCTTTCTGCTTAAAAGTCAACTACCTTAGGCACTACAGCTGCATTCAGGCCTCCCAAGTTATGATCAAGAAATGGCAACCACTCTATGGAGAAGGAACCTCCATTTCTGGTCAGAGTGGAACTGTGCTTCATAGAATTTTTTGAGGCTGTGATTGTACAGAAGTAGATCACCAGGCCTTTCTTCCAAGACACCTCTGGGTAAGCTCCGGCCTCCAACCTTTCAGGTAGTAGCCCAGCCCTGAACCATTTGCACTACCCAGGGACTCCTGTTTCACTAGCATTTTCTTCATCTGGAAGGAATGACATCCACTTCATCACAGGTGGTTCCTGACTCCTTCATCACTGACTGGTGGATCCTGACTCCTTCGAAGTGTTAATCTTGTGATAGATGCTGACACACTGTAGGTGCCCAATAAATTTTGAATTAAAAAACATTGAGGTTGCCTCAGAAATTATTTCTCTACTAGCTTAGGCCCTGTGATGTCAGAAATCTAGATTTTAACCCTATTTTTTTTTTCACTTGATGGACCCCAGTCTTGTCTCTTTGGCACTGCCCCCCAGCATTGTCTCAAGACCATGTTAATAAGTGCCCTGACCTACTTTGTATCTCATCACCTACTTGCCTCTTTTCCAAATAAGACCCTCAAGTTACTGCTCACAATCCCACCTTGGCCTACCCTAAACACCACCTAGTAGCAGCTTTAAAGATCAGATGTTTCAGGTGTGTCCTTAACTGACTTGACAAACCCTAGAAAAATCATCCTGAATGACCTTAATTGGTTAAAATGCACTTTAAAGAGACCCCTGGTGAAAAAAAAAAAAAAGATGGGACCAGGTTTGCTGGTCCAATAGAGCCTGGTGGAACCACTGAGACTATGGCCCCTAGCTGCCCTTCAGGTCTGGAATTGAACCCACACCTGTGGTTGCCAGCCAAACAAAGTACAGGCATGTGGGTTAAACATTTACCTCAAATAGACACACGTCCTGGAGAGAACAATCATGGGAGAAGGAAGGGCTGCTTATGCACAGGGAGACAGCTCACGGGGCAGGAGAGTATGGAGGGATGGACACTGGGAAGAGGTAACTATGGGGAGGAAGTGGGAGGGGAGCTGTTGCATTGTGGTAAACTGTGGTCAATGACATGGGACAAAGTATATGTGAACTGCTGTATGGAAAGTGAATTTGCTCTGAAAATCTTCACCCAAATCACAATAAATAAATAAATGAAAGAGACCCCTGGTTGAGGGAGGAGTCACCTCATAGGCTTTTGAGATGATGAGAAATTTGCTGTATGGTTG